GAAAGGATTAAAAACGAATATCCGGTCGTGATTTGTTATTCTGTTTCACCGGCGGCTTTCCTCCTACGGTTTGGCGTTACGTCATGAAAATGCAAATATTGTTGCGCCATGGAAATCTAAACGCTATTCTCTTTGAGCGAACGAGCCACTCGGTGGAGGATTAGTCGGCTGGAAGGAGGAAGATAAATGTAAGATTCGCATGTGATGCTTCGGGAGCGTTCGTTACGTGACAGCTTGATATACCGGGTGGCTCGCGGCGAAGACTTTACTCGCGCGCCCTGAAATCCCTGTTTCGTAATCTTAATTAATTAATTAATCGCGGCCACGCTAGGCCACATACACACGCGCTGGCGACCCGAACGTGTCGCCGGATTGTTTATCCGCTAGCTTGGGAAACATTCGCGATGTGTGAGGAAAAATGAGGAAACGAGATCGTCCCTGAGGGCGGAACAAGCCGAGGCGGAATACGCGCTGCTCTAGACACGAATTCTTCAACGCGTATCAGCAAAACATTTTTTTTCTGTGTTTGCATAACAGCTGCATTCAGTAGAGAAAGTTGCTTTACGGCAAAAACTTGTGAATCTGATTGCACTTAACCTAAGAGCGAAAACCAATCAGACTCGTAAATGTTGGAACAGTTGAAAAGCAGCTTTCTCTGAACGCGGCCATTATCAAGCCAAGACTGCCTTGGAATTATATAACAAAAATACACGTGATGCGAAAATATAAATGTATATAATTCAAATGTGAAATAATATAATACATAAAATAGCAAAAATGTATGCTGGGAATAAAAATACCTAAAGGAAAGAAGAAACATTTATTTGGCATCAGGATACTAAAATAAAATATTTACTTGTACTAAAATATATATTTTCCCAATGAAAAAAAATCTCTCTCGAACGAGAAAATATATATTTTCCTAGAACCCCCTGTTGCTCCTTATAAAAGCAATTATTTTAGTCTATTTGAACAAGAGAATTCAGATTTAAATGTGTTATTAGTACCCATCGAATAAGCACTTTTCAGTTTTCAGAAATTTTTCCTTCCTGTGTAAAAATAAAGAAAATGATACGAAAAAAATATAAAATATAAGAAAGTATGAAAAAGAATAGAAAATGTGAAAGTATAAAGAAAGGTGGCCCAAGTGGTGAGGGAAAAGACAGAGAAACAACGAGAGAGAGAGAAAGAGAGAGAGAGAGAGAGAGAGGAGCTCTCGAAATTTTGCAGATTATTCGACTCCGCAATTATCCACTTCGCTTGAATCGTTCCTGCCGGGCCTCTCGCTCAGTGTTCGAGGATTCGCGAAGGAGCGCGCGAGCGGTGATCTACAAATGAGGGTTTCTTCTTATCGCCGGTCAGATATATTGGCTTCCGGTTCGCGTTACGTGCGATGCGAGACCTCATATAGTAGGCGTGTCGCGTAATTAAGCCGCCAGAGATTTGCATACGATCCGCCTTGTAAACGCGCGCGAGGAAGAACCGTCCTGCACCCTCCCGAGCGCGAAGGGGTGGTCGGCGGGTGGGTAGGATTGCTCGTGGCTCTCACCCTCCGCTCTCTGGCGGGAGCGTTCTGACGCAAATAGATACCGCTTTTTGCACGCGTCTTATCCGATCTGAGACGGCGCCTCTCCCCCCCTCCTCCCCCCTCTCGGCCCGGCGCGTCTGAATTGCAAATATCCGAAATCGAAGAAATCCGCTTTATCGTCGCACGGGGCGTACTACGCGACAGTCGTCGCGTTGTACCGTTAATGACGGAAATTGTTGTCGGCCACCCTCGTCGCGACGCTCGAACTTTAGAATCTCGACGAGAATCGATCGAACAAACTACCCGAGAGTGTTCTCGTTCGAGTGTCTGTCCTCTTGGACTGTTCGCGCACCTCGCGTTTCCATTCGTACGTAAACGCGCGCGCGCGCGCGCACACATACGCAACACGTAATGAGAAGTTTTTCCGAGACCTGAGACGTCGCCATGCTGCCATAAAAATAAATGCAATTGTAACGCGAATTGCCGATGCAATTGCATACGCATTGCATTTGATATTTCGCGGGAAACTCGATAGCTCGTTGCACCCGCGATTGCAATCTCGTGGTTCGATTAAAATGGACGCGCAACCTTTTTATCAAAATCGCGAATCTCTCTCTCTCTCTCTCTCTCTCTCCCTCTCTCGCTCTCTTTCTCCTCTCACTTCGCAATTCCGCGCGGAATTACGCTTGTTTTATGGCGGTCCAAAATATCGCACGCGTTTTACAAATATAAGGCTGCTGGCTGAAACAGAAATCGACTCATGCAAGTCGAGTTTAATTCTTGTTCCGAACAATTGCGGTATCTGATGTTGATAAAAAAGAAAAAAAAACGGCCGGCTCGGGACACGACATTACGCTCCGCCGCGGAAGAGAAAAAATTACTACCGGCGCGTCGCGCGTAAAAGGCTGTTGAAGATGCTGTAATTTGGCTCGCTTGATTTTTTTCCTTTCTCGCGGCCACGCACACACCTTTTACGATTTATCGTCGTGGTTGTTATCCCCGCTTTCCGAATAGCGCGTGTCTGACGGGAATTAAAACGAGCGCATTAAAACGCGAGAGATAAACGACCTGAATTAATTATTAAATTTAGAAAAAAACTCGTTCTCTCTCTTCGTCGCGATATTTTTTGTCGTGCGATATAATTCTCTTTACGTTTATACCTCTCCGTAATCGACTTTAGTGCTGGTGTAAAAAATATTACCGCCGAGCATAGCGCGCGTTACGCAGGGGAGCGCGATATTTACGCGTCGAAAGCTACGGGCGAGTAGAAGACACACCGTCCGTAATTTGCGTGACAGCGAGACGACGTTACTTTCGTAATTCGGCGGTCGTTCGAATCGTCGCGATCAAGAATCGTATGCGTCGCGGGGATCGGCGCGCCGTCCTCCTCCTCGGCCGTTCACCGTTGCCGGCCGAGGCATCGCCACGAGTTTTTCGCGTTTCGTCTTCATCGGCTAAAGTGCACCGTACTTTATTTCACCCGACGCCGTATACAGCCGACTTATGGACATGAAGCACCAAGACAACTCCCCCGATCTCACCTAACACTAAAATGCGCCGTAAGGCCGCGTAAAAACTCACCCCATAACGGCATCGATACGCCGGGCGCATCGCGATGAAAGTGCGCTCGTATAATACGAGTGCCTCCCCCCGCGGCCTCCCCCCCACGTGTCGAGCAGCCGGGCGCGCAGTGCGTTTATTTTTCTAACGAGCGCGCACTGCACGCCGGGGGGACGATTCTCCCGAGAAGTTAGCGCGATAATTGACGATCGCGGCCGCGAACGAGGATCGATCGACGGGGGCGGATGAAAAGGGTTTACTGTGCGCGGCCGATACGCGAGGCAGAAAAAGCGTAAACGGGTACACTGAGGGAGAAAATTCGTTCATTTCGCTGGAATTATTGTCATTCTTGCCGCCATTCATGCTTTTGTTGTTCTAACAGAAAAACAGAGAGAGAGAGAGAGGGAGAGGGAGAGGGAGAGAGAGAGAGGGAGAGGGAG